CCCCTCGATCAAACATGGAACAAGATCCTAAGCTGATTCATAAAGCTTCTTCCTCATTCTAACGTGGAAGGAAGTGCACCGCAATATTAATCCAAATTTATTTATTTATATTAAAATTGCCTTGAAACCAATTCAACATTAGAATGAAGAACAAACTTCATGAATCAACTAAGGATCTTCTTCCATGTTTGATCGATGGGCAAATTTGGCACTTAAGTACAAAACCTTCCTCCAATTTTTTGACAAATCACCAATTTTAGCAATGAGGCCGAAAATTGTCCTTAATCGACTTTAGAGAGCAAAAAAAGGAGGTGAAGCAATTCACCAATGAATTGATGGACTTTGACCTACCATAGGAGGTCATTAGATCTTTATATGACCTCCTATGAAAGGTCACTTGCCTATTTAAGAGAAAGTTTCAAACCATAAATGAGGAGAATATTAAAAAAAAAATCATATTCATAAATATTGTGCAAGTAGGCCCTAAGTCATAAAATGCTTCACATGCCTTACATATGGAAGTGTAAATTTTGAGAATGGATAGACTTTGTCTTGTAAAGATCACTAGATGTGGGCAATGTCTAAGATTAACATTGCCCACCAATTAAGCATGGAAGGAGGCCCTTAACCAACATCAACCAATCTATGTCTTTTACCAAGTCTAAACTCTAAAACAAACAAACTTTAGAATGTATTCTAATCCAAAAACATGAAAGTCAAGAAACCACTAGTAATTAGTACATACTTTTAGACCATGTGGAAATAATGCAATAATGAGATTTTAGACAAGAATTCCAGATGATAGAAAAACAATAAATAAACAATTTAGGAACCTTGGACTCATAGTCATATATTAAATAGAACTACTTTCTTCTTTCTAAGATGGGTCTCTTACTACTCCTATTAGATTCCTAACAATTAAATGTGCTTTCCTCTATTAAGAAAATAGATGAATATTAATAACCTATTTGCATTACGTTTTTATGTGTGTTTGCCCATGTATATATAAAAAATTCATTTTTTATTTCATTTTCTTGATAAAAATATTACATTTTTATGTGGTTCTTTTCATGTCGCACATGTGATTTCCTATTTAATAATTTCATACTTCTGCTCATACGCACAGGTAATTCCTTTTCTATTACTTTCCTCAAGTATGGTGTAGAATGGGATAAGTATGCTCGTGAGATTGTGATTAATTTATTTGCATATTAATTTATCATCATGTCACATACTGTTGAGCATTTGTAGCTTGCTTATAACAGCTTGCTTATAACAGCATGCTTACAACACAGAGTAAAGACAGCAACTGCTATTCGTACACATATATGTACATATATGTGAATAAATACACACATATATTTATTAATTATCTCAATTACATTATATCACTAAAACTGATTTACAGAATAGTGGATAAATACTATAATTGGCAGCACTTGAAGTAAACGGTAGCAAGAGACATTTTTTTGATATCATCAAATTCACCACCAATACAAAGATGCTAAGTTTGATGAATCTACTCTTTGTAATTTTTGCCGTGACAGATAAGAGCGAGCACTTTTAAGTATAGAGGGGTCCCCAACCAACGTGAGCAGTACATATGACTAGGAACTGATGTTCCGGCATGGTTAGAAAGCTTAAGTTGAGAGAAGCAAGGGAGTCAAAGTCCGGCGACCTTATAATTTCCAAACGCGAACTTTGCGTCTACCGATGTCATGACGGAAATTTTAAATCCTTGCTTCATGTGCATTCATTGGTTTGCAGAGACTTTAAACCTGTGGTAAGTACATTGTGCTTGAGTTAGGACATAAATCTGCAACAACTTTCGAAGCTCAACAGCTTCACCAAACCATCACAAAGCAGTCATAGGGCCACAAACTGCTTTACTCGTCATGTTCGAGTTTCACCTCAGCACTTCGAAGTCGTAGCAGAAATAAATTCATACTGGAGTCCTTTTTCAACATATAATCTAACTATAGTTATTGTAAATGTGACTAAAAAAAAAGAAAATAATTTACTTTCGGAAGCTCGAACTCAAATGTACAATAGAGATTCCTAAATGAATCGGAAACTGCTTTAAGGGGGTGTTCTAACATACAGAAAATAAGGTAAGGTTATGTGCTCACAATACGTGAGCCGCCAGTCATCAGTGAGCTGAAATTCGAATGGTGGCAAATCATGGTGAGCGCTCCAGCACAGATCCGAACGGAAGAGAGGCGTCGGCATCCCGTATTGACACGTCCTGTACACCCATCATTGCAATGGACTGATTCGGAGGAAAGATTTCATGCAGAAGCTTGTTGTCAACAGATATTGAAGGGCTCAGCTCGACGGAGGGATTGTCGACAGCACGTATCCGTTTGGATGGCGGTTCTGATGGTTCACTGTCCAGCACCTTCTCTTCGTTCTCGTCCTTCTCTGATTCCTCCTCTTCAGGATCTGCGTTTACCAACTCATCGCTGTAATCCGAGCTTGCGTCCACTTCCCCGTACTCCGCAGAGTCAATGCCAGTGGCATAAGGTTGAATTGAGTTGTCCGATGGTGAGCTATCCACCACCTTCTCGTCGTCCTCTAATTCCTCCTCTTGAGCAAACTCTTTGACCACCTCATCGATGTAATCCAAGCCCGAGTACACTTCCCAGTACTCCACACCGAAGATGCCAGCGGGGTGTCGTTGAATTAAGTTACCTGAATGGGCAAAAAGAAGATATCAGCAGCAAGACATTGCCAACCCTCAGATTTTATTGACAAATGGTCGCACAATGTGCTATCGCCAACTGTAAGAGAAGGTTGTTGCCAAAACAAAAAACATCAAGAGTGGCATAACCAGACTGATCACCGCTGCATAACTTACGGAAACAAAACTTGAGAGAGAGAGTGTGTGTGCGTGAAAACACTAACCTAGCTCCTCGTGAGCCTGGTTTTGGACCTGGTCCGGAACAGCTAGATCCAAGTCGTCCTCGAGAGGCTGGTTTTGGCCGCGGTTCGGAGCATCTACGTTAAGAAATTCTTCAACCTCATCCGCGCGGAGGAAGGGTAATTGATTGAAACGCGGGCTCCCAGGGTGTGGCGGAGGATCGCCGTTATCCGCAATTGCAGCAGCATCATCTATCTCTGGCTGATTTGGGAACTGGACAAACCCCAAACCGATACTCATCGCAACACTTCGTAACCTCCTTCCTGCTGCAGATGCGGCGAGAATCGATACCACGCCTGGTCCGAGCGAAAAAAAAAAAACCAGCACAGTAAACAGCTTCCTGACACTTACAGTCCACGCTTCGCCTCTAAAAGCGCAAATCCTCAGATACAGTATTCCAAAACAGAGAAACGTTCGTATGTTCGTACTAAGAGTGTATCAATACACAGTTATTACTGAGCACACAGCCGAAAGCATCTGACTGAGAGTTAACATTCCTTGCTCTAGAACAAAGCCCCACCCAGAAATGGAGTTAAAGCCTGGCATTCACACTTCAATTTCACACTTTCAAGCAAACCGCGAAGGCAGGGAGGCGGCGAGAAAATTATACGCCCCGCCGCTCATCATCAACTGCAACGAGATTTGTAACCCTAGCTGCTCCAGGAACACAAGCCGAAGTGGAGGCAAGGGCTCGTAAAGTAGAGAGCCCGGAACCGGCACATGTTGGAAAATTCGAAAGGTAACTAAAAAGTGGCCATTACCTGATATTCTGTGTGGGCATACCTGCCCCCACCCCACTTTTGGTTTTCCCAAAAAAATTATTCTTTGTCTCTATTTGTGTGTGGAGTTCAAAAATATGTTAGATTAGTGACCTTGATTTGATTTCATTGGGGGTGTATGTAAATGAACATACATATAGTGCATTTCTTGTGTTTATGTAGTTTATGTCCTCTTTTTCTTCTCTTTCTAAAGTTTAAATGTCATGAAAAATGAGTTAAAAGTAATGAAGTACTTAAATTTTGAGGTTTTTGTTTTTTTTTAAAAAAACTTGAATTGGTATTCTATATTTATTGGAAGATGGATATGGAACATTATAAAAAATAAAAATAAAAATCATATCTCAAGTTTATTTCTTCATGATATATTTTTTCTTGAGTGTGTTATATCAAAAAGATGGTAACTGCAGAATCATAATTAATTTCCATCTTGTGTAATATTAAATTTATATGTAACAACAATTGAGTATTTTTGTGCATTTTCAATGGCATTATTTTTTGCATATATTTTTGGTCCAGCCTGTAACTTAAATTCTTATTTAAAGATGTATCATCTTGTGTAAAAATGCAAGAAGTCAAATCATGTATATCTACAATCTTTTCTACACCTCAATCTTAGATAAGAATAAAAATTTTCTAGACTAGTTAGCAACTTTGTTGTGAGCTAAAATCACATTGTGCTAATACAGTACCATTTAGGTTAAATATTGTCTTACTTAACAAGAATTTATATAATCTCTAATCATTACAATCAACCACAAAATCAATGACTATCAATATATGTAGTTATTTAATACATGAATCCTTATATTCGTAATTTTGAAAAACATTATTCTATGATTTAAAAAAAAGTAGGAGTATATTATTTTCTATACTCTTTGTTTGTTTGTTTGTTTATTTAGTTTATCATGTTTAATTCCACATACATTTCTAAAATAATTTTGAAACTTCTGATGATGTCCCACATCACCACGATTATTTTTCTTCAAACTATTAAGTTATTTTACTTCTAATCTTCTCTACCGTTAAATTTGTATCTACATGTTAAAAGACTTCTAATAGAAAGCATCACAATAGCAGACTATGAGCTTGCACCAGAACGCAGCAGGCAATCCTGCGCCGTGCACGCCCTGTGCCGAGTTCCACCACCGTGCTCAAAGCAAATGGAAGTATGCCGCACCCCTAGCTCTTACTTCAAAGGCCCCCACATCTTTAGTATGCAGAGAACGGAGAGTTGTCAGAGCGTACTATGCTCCGGTGGAACAACCTCGAATACTTACAGAATCGCACTCTCCAGAAATGAAGTTTCAGTAGTTGTCAGTGATGGCTTGTGCCCCCGCCGCTGACTGGATTACAGTAGACGCCCTGAAGTGGTGAGATTCAGAAGGTCATCGTTGCACGTCAGTTCTACGCATAGTTCCACGGACGTTCTGTGTGCGCGTGTGGCTGTGAGTGTGTGTTGCATGATTCATAACCTGCACCGATCACCAAAGTCACCATAGAACTTGACCCCATCTTGAAGGAATACTCGACATGGCTCCAGACCAGTTGGGAGGGACGTCGACGGCAGCGTGTACCGTCCCAGCATGATTCTTTCTGACATGTGTCAGTCAGCATCCGCTTGGAATGATACTTTGCCAGCGCACTCACGGACACGGTGTCATGCCGCAGTGCACCTGGGAGCATCCACTTGGCATGAACACTTGGTAGCAGACAGCATGCCTGGGCAGCTGCTGCCCGCTCTCGAGATAGTATGCACTGCCCGGGCCGGGCCTACCCTTTGGGGTTTAACATGAGATATTTTGCAAATGAGAATTTTCAGTCATTTTATTTTGAGTAAAAAAAGGTGTATGTAATTTTAATATTTTATTAATTTTAAAATAATTTATTTTATATATTGATATTATATATATGATTTTAAATACACATTATTTAAAAATAATTTTGTATATTTAAATTTAATCAAAATTTCTAATATATTTATAATTTTTTAATTATATATATATATATATGTGTGATTTCTTTGAATAAAAATTATTATATTTTACTGTAATATTACCAAACATTAAGAGTCTCTTCCAAGATCATGATATCAAATACATTATATCTTGCCATTTATTCAAGAAAGAACATGTTGTGCTTGAAGTTCTTTATCTCTATTACATCGTTTTGAAGGTTGTGACAAGTTCAATATCTTGTTTGATAACTCATCAAACAATAATGCTTGAATTAAATTTGCTAATTATTGATTCTTCATTTCTTTAGTGCCACAAATATACAAAAACTACAAATAAAGATAAAAGATAGAATCAAGTTCTACTGAACTCTATTCTTTTATATCAATAATTGCTTGATTCTTCAACTTGATTTTGATGGATGTCCTCAATGAAAAGTATCAACCTTCTTTGCTACATTTGTAAGATTTTTAGTTGGCTTCTATGTGCGTTCAATAATATCATATTTGCGCTAATGAACAAGGTATTTCAATCTATTTTGATGGTGCTTTGAGTAATTTATAAGCAATTAGATTGATTTATTTACAAATAAGAAATGGTCACTCTACAATAATTTAACTTATCACCAAGGCAACTAATCTTGATATTATGACAAAGTAACCATGCTTTATTGTCCATATGGAATTGAAATTGTTCATAGCAATAGATATTTGCATAGATCTTTTGTCGTTATTGAGCTTTTTTTATTTGCACCTTCATTATTACATGTAGCACGAATAAATAATCTGTCAAATCTTTTGTCATAAGATTATCAACTTTTGAAAAGTTAAACATATCAAATTATGGATGATAATTATAATAAGCAAAAATATATATATATATATATATATATATATATATATTGTTGAGTAGAAGAATGTATCATATTATTTTTTAATTATATTTCTTCTTTGAATAATAATGAGTATTGTCTTTAGGTTTTTCACAATACAAGCATAAACCTTCTTGGAGATATTGAGTATTTTTTTTAATTTATTTTTTTTCAGTGAGAGGTTTAGAACATATTGAATTAATTTCCATCAATTTTAGACTTAATAAATAAGTTTCTAAAAACTTAAGAATTCTTACCAAAACTTGATTTATACTTTTCAAACCAAATCTTTGTTCTTTGCATCTTTCAAAAAGTCAATTTTTGCATGCAATGGCTTAAACAATAAATTATTTTAATAAATTTATTTTTAACATTGTCAATGATAAGTTTTTGACATCATCTTTTAACTTATATCAAAATTCATTAACAAGAAATTTTTCATTTCAATCCTCATTGCAAGCAAGGTTTTGAAACTTAGCAGCATATGTAGTAGCTAAACATGATTCTTATTATAAAAATAAGAGTTTGGTTTTTACTATCTTTTTTTAATCACTTTTTTAAAATATGATTATAAATACTTACGTAAATGAATTAAAATCATAAAAGAATTGTGATTTTTTTTTTCATTATATGTGTAAACCAAGAGCTAATACTTTTGAATAGAAATGCATCTATGAATTCAATTTGAGTAAATTCATTAGGATATTGTAAAAGATGTAATTTTAGATAGAGCTTAACTTATTGTAAAAATCCTTGAAATTTTGATTTTATTCTATCAAACTTCTTTAGCATACTTATTCTTCCCTCCTTTATACTTGTTATAGTAAGTTTTCTTAAATTTGATTGTAAGCTTAATCTACTTATTTCTTTCAACTAAACAACTTATTGGTATAGACGTTGAATTTTATTGTTGACTTTTTCTATAGATATAGGAATAATACTTGTATGGTTGACATTAGTAATATATGAGTTTTTTACACTTAAAATATTGACAAACTTGTAAAGATCTACAATAGTTGTAAATCTATTCTCACTTTTGCCAAGTGTAGCATCCATCATTTTTTCTTTTTTTTCTATAAGATATTTGAACAAATCTATAATTCAAACTAGAAGAGAATTATCTTCAATCTCTAATACTAAATGATTTTTTTTACAAAGAGGAATAATCCACTATCTTTATAAAAAAATCAATGTTGAAAGACAAAAAAAATGTTAATTTAAAGATAGGTAGCATGCAGCCTTTAAAACACAAGAAATGAAGTGGAATAATCTACTTGCTTCTAAAATAAAATAAAATAATGAATTAGTATAAATTAGATTTTTATATCTTTACTGAGTTGGTGATTGTATGGTGCAGTGTAGCAAGTACATCCGTTGAAATCATTCTCTTCGGGTATCTAGGGTAGAAAATGAACATCCAATAGGAAAATAGAATCTCGATAGATCAGTGGTGACTGCCCCACAATTGCTGGGCCCTCGGGACCCAGGACTTTTTACTGTGGGAGCCGGAATCATGTGCATCTACGCCATCGACTTTGGGATACATTTCAAGAGACCAAGAATGGCATTCAGGTAGACGTTGTCTCCTAGGTCCAACGTAACGAAACTTGAACCCTCACAAATCACGTGGGAATCAGGAGACTAATTCATGGACTGATCTTAATGTCCTTTCCTCTTCCCGGAATTAGGAAACTACCACAATCTTTCAATTGAGCGGAAGACCTCGATTAGCACTACCATCCCAAGTTTACAGCTCAGAGAAGTTAGCTCTCGAAGTAAGAATTCGTATTTGGAACCACGTTTGGTATGTTTTTTCCATGTAATACAAACAGTTAAAAAAGACTTTCCTGTGTTTCTATTCTACTAAAGCACAAATATGGCAGTTCCACTTTATTACATTTCATAATGCATTGCGCAAATAACTCAGAATTTGATTGAGAAATGTGTGTCCCATGGCCTTCATAATGCCATGCAGTATGTTCACATGTATTTCATCTGGATAGAATTATGTGTGATCATTGTAATCTCACTTTGTGACCAACAACTACTTTGGATAATTTCATAATTTTGTTCTAGTTGTGGTTTTTTCAAAATACACACCCAATTCCTCAAAACAGGCGTATTCATGTAGGCCCTTAAGGTTTTACTATCTTAATATATCTTTAAAAACTTGAGATACATACACACATACATACATTCACAGATATACAGGCAGTAAATCTGCTTCTTTACCTCAACCTTTGCAATCAAGATTCGTAAGGATTGATACTATTTTGAGGTAAGTCGATCTTACCTCTGACCCAACTCCCGATGAAAGTCAGTGCTTCTTCCCATCGATAAAATCATCCTTGTAACTGCAGCTATTCAAAGGACCCGTCCACCGAGATCCGTCTAGTGGGAGCGCTATTGCGTTGACAAGTTTTGCACTGGACCTCCGCGACCCCTGAAACGGAGACTTGTCATGATCCTTTGTTCTTTAGTGGTCTTCAAGAAGTCCAATCTCTCGATCGCTACACTCACGTGTACATCGCAGTGTTGAGGAATAAATATCCCGAGACCGAGGGCAGTAAACGTTCCTCGTGGTACAATCAGGTCAACCTAGGCTCGGAAGGAACAATTGACACACTCCTGCTCCATCAAATAATGCGGGATGTTTCTTGCGATGAAAGAGGGACGATATGTCGTTGCGGCTGCTACTTTACCCCGAGCACTGGAGCTCTGAATCGGTCCAGCGTTACTTTATATATGCATCACATGATTCATGTGCCAGGCTGTTCCAAGTGAAGATAAGATCAGAAAAAACTCGAGACCAGAGTGTGTCGACAATATCCCCTATTTTTTGGATGTTGTGTCAGTTAATTGTCTCAAAGTTAGAAAGCGAGAGGAGCGAACACTCTAAAAACCACGTCAACGACTGCGACTTGGTTGACCGGTCATCTTCGATCATGAGTTGTCTAGTTTGAAAGTCATCTAACCCACTGCGAATGAGTCTCGCCTGCACGCCAAGTGTTTTTCGCATCGTTTTCAGATTCTTAGCGTCTAAACAGCGTTCCCCCAAATTATTCAGCTGGGAAAGGGGAGACTCCCACATGGAAGGGGCACAGTCAAATAGCTATAAGAATGCCATACAATTACTAACGAAAAATACGGCATGCGTGAACGCTTTATATTAATGTTTATTATTCTTCCGTGCAATACGAGATCTCTTCAACGACATCGCAAAAGGTGAAGTTCTACGCAAGAAACTGGTAATGATCGTATGATCTCACCAAATTTCTGCTTACATAACAGCATTAAGCCGCTATCAACGATTCAGATTTGCACGGAAAGCAACAGGTCGAATTAAGATTAGAATATTATGCGCTAAGAACCACTATGTTACGGTCTAAGTCGACATGATAGAAGATGAGCAAAATCTAGACCCGTCACAATGAGACAGCAATCAAAGCGGACAATGCTAAGACGAGAAGTGAAACATCGCCCGAGAAGATTGAAGTCGATGTGGCATGGCTGGCGTTTGGAGCAGGATTAGGAGCAGGAGCAGGAGGAGGAGGCGCCTCAACAAATTCTCCAGTTGCTGGGATGGAGAGTTTCATGCCTTGATTGCAATGAAGTGGAGTGCCGCAGATGAAGTAATAAGTACCCGCCTTGGAAATGAGTATTGAGTAAACCACTTGCCGACAGGCGTCGTAGGCAGGGTACATGCCACAAATTCTGCCTCTGTTGCCAATTGCAGCACGCTATGAGTCGCATTGTCATACTCGAAAACTGTCCATTGTGGAAAAGCCAATGCATCAGAAAACTTGCACATCGCAACGGCGTCGAGGTTAATCAAATAAACAGAGAGGATTTAAATTCGATAACCTACGAAGAGAATCGCCAGTTTTGAAATTGCTGTTCTTCGCCCAGTCGTTGTAGAAGGTGAGATTAGAATTCGGCTGAAGAAAGCTCCACTTTGCTACGGCTCCCCCTACCATATACTGCACAGCGAGCGTTGCCTCCAGAAATGTTGACGCGGCTATCACTAAAACTGCAACCTACAAGAATCCGCCCACTCTTCTCTGCTTCATCAGTGCCATTATGTGATCGATTGATTGAACAAGTCTAACTAGCTGCCGAAGATGGGCACCACCAGAGCAGCTTGCAGATGCAGGTGTCGAACGCCCACTCGCTGATGAAATAGAAAGATGCGGTGAACACTGACGATCTGGTGATCTGAAAAGATGTCGTTCTGAAACTTCTTCGTACACAGAAATTCTCATTTGGTCAAGGCATTCGCGACATGCAATACTCTAATTGCAAGAAACGTGTCATGCCACACAGAAATTAGTGGGCAGCAGACAATCAGTCAAGAATATAATACACTCCACAAGCAAGCATGGCTTAGAAATAATAGTCGGTAGCATTATGAACTGGACGATGAGGGCTGAGTTATGACGTGGGAGGAAATTTAAGGGCAAGCTTCGTGACTTTTGCAGAACAATTACTGATGATAAGTAGAAATGCTGAAGCGAAAAAAATACGAACAAAACGCGGAGGCGTTTCAAAATTGTAAGTATTTAGTGGAGTTTTTTATTTTCCATGCCAACGTTGAACTTATGAGTGTGTATAAGCTCGAGTTCTGTCTTGTAACTCTAGTGATTGCGATTAAGTGGTCATTAGTTTGAGCTTTTTGAGTGCGATCCGTCTCCATCGAGCACCTGGAGTTGCTGGAAGGACCATTTCAATTCCAGCAACTTCTACTGGTGGAGAACATGAAGTCGTTTCTGCTAATCGGAGTGATATATGGCTTGTGTGCCTTGAGTGCATCCGCTTGGGAGTGTTCATTCAATGGGCGGCGCAAAGTGCTCCAAGTTGGGGCTCCAGATGCAGCCCCACCACAGCAACTAGAAGCTCCTTCACCTTCAGCGCCATCTTCACCACCACTACCCCCGCAATCGACTGTGGCTACACGCCCAACGGGTGCAGATGTGCACGGCGAACCCCCACTAGATTACGATTTCTATACCAAGTCGTGCCCGTCATTTCAGCAAATTGTGAAGACCCAGGTCGCTAGAGCCATTCTAGCAGACTCCCTCACTCCCGCAAAGTTACTTCGTTTGTTCTTTCATGACTGCTTCGTGATGGGTTGCGATGCGTCTCTGCTGCTCAATTCTACCGTGGTGAACCTCGCGGAGCGAGATCACGCTAACAACTTCACTGTCGACAAATACTCTGTCATAGACTCAATAAAGGCCGAGCTCGAGAAAGCCTGCCAGGCCATAGTGTCATGTGCTGACACCCTCGGCGCCGCTGCTGCGGAGGCTGTGGAACAAGTAAGGGTTCACGATTGTCCTATCTTGCTTCTAGAATTATATCCACGCAGGATTAGGTCTTGAACGATTATGGATTAGCTCACGGTGCTCTGCTCTGTTGCTAGGCGGGAGGACCACACGTCGACCTAGCATATGGCCGACGGGATGGACTCGAATCTTTCGCACCGGCCGCAAAGACGAATTTGCCAGCCGGCACGCTTCAAGTCGCAGGGCTGCTAGAGAATTTCCAGAACGTAGGACTGAATCTCACCGATGTGGTGGTGCTCTCTGGCGGTCACACAATCGGTCAAGCACGGTGCTCCTCATTTGCCGATCGGTTCACACCAGGAGTGAAAAACCCTTTCCCCGACGTCTCATTCGGAGAGAACCTGTACACTTACTGCGTCGAAGGCAATACAATAGGCCTCGACCGCAGAATGTCGCTCGACACCAACAGCACCACAGTCTTCGACAATGGCTATTTTCGGAGCTTAGTCGCAGGTCGCGGCATCTTGACATCGGACAACATTCTGTTCACTGACCCTCGCACCAAGCCGCTAGTCACTCAATTCGCGGAGAACCAGGATGCATTCTTCACCGCATTCAAGGAATCCATGGCGAAGATGGGTCGCATCGTAGTCCTCACAGGCACTCAAGGACAGATCCGCAAGCAGTGCTGGGTGCGCAATCCCATCGATGCCAACCTAAGGCCTGAGGCGAACATGGACTTCGCTCCCCAGAGCACCAAGTTCTGCAGGCAGAAGCCTTGCAATCCCACATGCTCCGACCCTGCTTCATAGATTCAGTATAGCTTCTTTTTTATCACAGGGGGACAGTCCTTGTGGTGGTTGAATCCGAGCTGTTGTTGTGGAGGTGATCACGTCAAGTCCCATTCAGTGAGGTTGCAAGATGAGAATGGTTGGATTCGACCGCAGGTAAGGCTGTTTCTATGCATTTGTTAAGACATTGGTCGGTTGTGAGCAATTCACTCTTTTTCTTTTTTTTTTTTTTTTTTTTTTTTTTTGTGTCTCTATGTCCAACCAGTTCATTTGTGGTTATTCCGATCCGAATCATGTTGAAGGGATTGAGTTGAACTAGGCTTGTTACATGTCAGTGGATGAGGCGAAGGTGTGGCAATCGGCGATTGGCCAGTATCTGCAACGCAATGCATTGAACAGGTGAAGGTTCGACGTTTGGCCGATGTAGAGTTTCAAACCATGTGCAAGCTTTAGAAATCTAGAAAGGGCTCATCTTACGATCTTTAGAAAGTGGCAAAAGTGGCTGGAGAGGGGTGAACAGACTATGAAGTGGAAATGAATTTTCACGCCAACTCACGCTATGAGACTCAAACAGAAACTTAACATTGTGACGCATTTTTTTGGTTCATCAGATGAACGCGATGTTTCCAAAACGCCCAGTACTTCTTATCCTCTGCAAATTGGTGCTGGAGCTCTGGCTCAAAGCAAATTTGTGCTTCAGAAACAACAATATGGAAACAGAAATTCGAACATTAACCAAACAATGAACAAATCGATTTTTTGGGGGAGGGAGTCGATTGCAGAGAGCTCCTCACATCCAACGGCGAGAGTTTAAATTGAGTTATTCTGGAGTGCATCAAAATAGCTATAGATATTGTTTGAAATAAATTGATTATAATTTCTTATGGGAATCGAAGATTCATCGTTCTAAATATTTAACCAAAAACAATGTATATGTTTTGATGATATAGTTAAGAAAAATGTTATTGAGGTATTCTATTATATAAGTTTTTGTATATGAGATTTTGCTTCTGTGATAAAATTCATAATTATTTGCCATGAAATGTTTTTTGAAATTTCAAAATTATTGATTAATGAGGTAAAGTTCATAATACAAGGTAGAAAATAAATAAATTACTTTTTTTTCTTTTTTTTTTCTTTTTTTCTTTTTGTCAATTCTTACAGATACAAACTTATTGTCAATTATAAAACTCAATGAATTAGTAGTACAAGCAGAGACAACTGTAAAACAAACCTTTCAAGACATCTAATGTATATATATATATATATATATATATAATCTTTTAAATATGGATAGTGTGTCAATAGATGCTATATTTATGAAAAAATCACAATTAATTTCTATTATTAGCCATCTATTATACAAATAAATTATTTACAAATAATAAAAAAAATCTTGTTGTAAATATTTTAATGAATTAGGATAGTGCTTTCAATATACTTAGTACCAACTAATACTTGTAAAAACTATAAAGATGACAAAGTGATCTTTGTGTATTATAATAAATTATTTAGTTGAATTATTAAGATAATATAAATTAATTTTATAATAAATAATTAAATTATAATGAATAATTATATTGTACAATTAAATGATTTAAATTAATAAATTTTAAGATTCTTTAAATTTTTCTAAAATTTAAGTGATGTAGATTGTATTTATTTAAATTAAAAATTGTTGATAGGTTTAGGGTTTAGGATTTAGGATTTAAGATATCATTAGCTCATCTATGCAAAAACCACTAAGAAATAATTCTAAATAAGATAAAGTTATTGTATTTATTGAAGAACATAGACTTAATGATTTTGACACAAAACCTATAATTTATGATTTCTAACAAAGTTTAAAGTATAACCAAACTTACGTAAATAAAAAAATTTGGACTTACTTAGAAACATGGTGTTAAGCCTTGATATTAGAAGGCTTAATCTCTTTTTACCTTATTTGACACCCTTTAGTAGAGTATGATGGTGTAGAATAATTTGGTTGAAAGAAGTAGCTACACATTGTAAGGTGATGGTGGAGGAGATAGATTTTGGTTGGAAAATCCATCATCACAAATATAAAATTGTAAAAAACTATATTAGAAGATTTATGATAATGTCTATGAAAACAAATGACTATAATTGTTTTAGACTAAATGAAGAATAAAGAAGTTTAAGTAATTGAGTATGTAGAGTCTTTGCTTAAGATCAAGTATAATAAGATAAAATAAATCCTTTGATAGTTTTTTATATTTAAAATGATTAAAAAAATCTTCAATTAATTGTAAAGTTATATTGTATTCAAAATGTCTTGTTTTTAGGAAGTCATATTGTGCATGAAGAACATGTGATTGTACTTGTAATTTTCATATGTATAACAAATATTTATTATAGTTTTTGTTTGATTTTTTTAAAGACAAATTTACTATGATCATTATAAATTTTATTTTAATAAAATAAAATAATTTTTTTATATACTTAAATAAGAATAAAAAAATTATCATCAAAAGATGTAGAGTTAATTTAAATTATTATTTTTATAGCTTCAAAATGTAATTACTTTAGTTCCAAAAAAAGAGTTTGTTATTAATCATATGTAATATTTTATTTAAAATGTTTAAAATATATGTTATCAATTTTGTATATGATTATTTAGGCATTAGTTTTTATAAAACAAAGCAAAAATGTTATTCATATTAATTGATAGTGTTTTAATATAATAAGCAAAAATATTTTTTAAACATCAAAAAAATATGATTATCTAAAACTTTATTACAAAAGTGTTAAAAAGAAACTAGAGAATTTGTAAGTCTTAGAATCACAATAAAGTAAGAAAAAACATTCATATGAAAATTACAATGCAATATTTATTTTTCTTATTATTATGTATCAAATTATAAACTCCTTGTAAATCTATTATGGTGAAAAAATTAGCTTTATTTAGTTTCAATATCAAGGACAAAGAACAATAATTCTTCATGGTTGATTGGTTGAGTTTATAGTTATTATATATAATTGATATTTGTTATAGATTCAAAACGACTTAAAGAAACTATGCATTAAAAAAATATTATTTACTAAGGCATACACATATATGCATATATAAATACAAAATATGTAATTAAAATATTATGTTTTATTCTATATAATCTTACTGTGTCAAATTAAATAAACTAAATAAACTAAATTTGAAGTTTTTAATTTAGTTAATAAAAGCCATATAAAAGCCCTATTGATATTCTAAAACATCACATATTAAATACAATCTAATTTATTTTCATTTATTTTCCGATTATTATGAATATTTTGTGGTAGACCATTGTTATTACTTTCGAATTAAATTATTGAAATGATTCTACAATTTGAAAAAATATAATTTTCGTTTTAAAGTGGACAATTTAGATGAAACAAACATATCATGTTTAAATTATGTTGTTTTAAACTAATTAATATCAAATAATTCTCATTATTTAAAAAAAGAAAAAACCAAAATAAGCTTATGATTTTAATCTCGGATTCCTCTCAATGTTACTTTCCTGAAATTGATAAATACAAGTTAGGTTCATAAATTAAAGAATTCAGTTATGTGAAAAAACAAACAAACAAACAAACAAACAAATAAATAAATAAATAAAATGGATGGAATGGAAGAAAGAAGGAAAAAATAGAATTTTTTTTTATGCCAAATTAAAAGTTAACATAAAATGATCATTGCATGTACAATATTTTGACTGTAGGTGTATTGAAATAAGATACTAAATGTAGGTACTTTCGCTTTGAAAAGGACATCATAAATGACAACATTAAAATTGTGTGGTTTTTTATGGAACAATGGTTCTCACAGTTGCAACTCAAGAGTCATGTAGAATAAGAGGACGTAATAAAAAATAAAAATAAAAATAAAATTACATAATTGCCAATAACTCATTAAACACAAGTGGAGACAACAGAACACGATGCATCATTTTTTCAAACTCATCACAAGTTGGATAACACAGCCACAAAGAACAAAGTAAAATAATACTTCAACACATACATTCTCTCAAAAGTTTTGTGAAACATCTCTGTAACGAAGATACTCAGCTTTTGTTATTACTAAAATTACAAGTTAAACTCATATGATAAGACACCCAGATCTATGATAAACACAAGGAATTTACTACCATTTGCTGCAGAGGGTGTGGTGGCGACCACATCAGGTTGCAGAACTGCGCTTGATTCTACTCAGCAAACCTCTAAAAGTTTCGATAATCCTGAGACAGAAAAGTGGGAGAAGATTTCATATAATAGAGTGTCTACACGACATGTAGTGAACAGATTCAGAGACAAAGATCGAAGAACTAGAAACCAGCAAATGCTGCAACAGCAGGAACTGAAACTGGGCGACGCACAAATCAGTGGACATATGCCGAAACTGTGATAAGGTTCCCACCTGTTTGTATGGTGTTTATTTTTGGTTTTTGTTGCACAATCGCCCGCAAAGGCTATCATCCAGGTGATCGGAGTAAGTTGTGTGCGCGAAGAGCTGAGTCTGGAGCCACGCAACTGGAGTCCCACTCATGTCCGTGAGGATGATGATGTGGGTTTCTTCACAGGTCCGAGGTTGAGTGAGGCGCGTCGAGACTGTGCACAGTGCGAGGTTTCGGGGTGCGCATCAGGCTGAATGCTTGGGTGCCGTCGGTGACCACCCCTGGTTAGCTAATGCGGCGGTTGTTTGATCGACTATTCCTGCACTGGAGACACGAAGCTCACCATCCTGCATTGCGCTGAGGTGCGGGAGACTATGGCTCTTCTGGCACGAGGTGTTTGGGATGCGGCCGGATTGGTGGGTCGGGTCAGGGGCGTGAGAGAATGGTCCCGAAGGGTGCACTCCGTCTAGATGTGGGGGCACTAGAGAAGCGTAGGAAGCTAAATCTGTGAGCTCTGCGTGTGCGGCTTGCAAGTCCGGAGCTAGTGAAGTCATGTGGCTGACTAGCGTCTCTTTGGCCTTCTCCAAGATGGTTTGCAAGTATTTCCCGTGTGCTTCGATCCGCAGTTGAAGTGTTTTTTGAACCTGCCACGATGCAGCTCACTAGCATCAGAATGAGATTTTTCCTGTTGATAACTATCAAATGAAATTTCGATGGTTAGATTCTGAAATTCCGCCGTCCTTGTGACTGCTGGTGCTCCATGGACATTACCTCAAGTTGTTCCTGGAGTCGACGTTGAGCTTCCACTTGCAAACGTAAAGCTTCATTGATCTTTGCGTTGCTGCAATCAAAAGCACAGGGCTTCTGTTAACGTGGGACTTGTATTCAGTACTTAAGGTTAGCACGTAACAAACTTCCCGAATTAGATTTATGGCGAGGAAACATCGTGACATACTTTTGAGGATCCTGCGACGTTGGAGTAGGGGGAGGCCCATCAGATGCACCGGTGCTTGTTCCCTGCATGCCTGAAGACCCATACACAACGTCAGAGATACCAAGCATGGCCACAATCATCCGAGGAGACAACGAACACAGGAAAGTGGCTTGCAAGCCCCGCTCTTACGGAGTTCCACAGAAGACCATGAATTCGATGTACCATGACTTGCGTCCTTGTAAGGTAATTCATGTCCACTAGCCTCCCTTTGACTTTGCTGCTTCCCCAATCGGTATTTCTGCAAGAACCATCCCAAAGATACGTCTAGAATTAAATGCTGCGACTGTGAGTAACGAGATAGTCAGAATCATCCCATAATTTACTTAAAAATGCGATCCATGCGTAAATAGCTCCAATACAAACTTAACATCGTTTACTAAATCTGTCCCCCCGCTTCGCCAGCCAAGCCACGTCGACAGCAGATAAATACAATACTGATGAGTTTGCTATTACCTGGAGATGGCTCTTCAAATGGTAGAGCGTAAGACCCTTCACTCCCATAACCCTCATCACAGACTTCGGTGTAGCCTCTGTCAGTTGATTTCACCACAGACAAACGAGAGAGTTGGACTTCGTCACTACGAATCGTTTAGATCACCTACACTCCGATCATCTCTCAGCAGAAGCCCATCCAGCATGATAAAACTTCAACCCCGGCTATGGGAGTAACCCATGAGCAGAATGGACGTCGCTAACACAAAAAAATTTAAAAATTTAAAATAAAAAAAGTAAGGTTATAACTTTGAGTGCAAGTACATTAAACCCTCCTTAGAAAACGTGTATGGTAAAATTTCTCATTTTAATGACAAGATTCAAACTAAATCTTCCGCCTGAATTTTGTACAACATCCACGACGTCGTTTTATGCTGATTTAACGTGTTCATTACATGAAGAGGAATGCACCCTATGCAGCTTGTGTATGTTCCCCATCTGACAGTATCCATGGCACGTAAATGAGCGTGTGTTACAGGAAATAATGAACGTTGCTATCGGAGGCCTGAGTGTCGGATTCTTGTAGAGTACAGTCACATCTTAAACACAGCATTGGATGTAGACGAATTGAACAGAGAGATTGGACAGGTGCAAATCACAGGATTGTGATTAAAGCAGAATACTTAAATTCATTTCCTAGCAAGTATATTATCGACATTCTCATCAGAGATCAACAGAGAGCGCAGAGTACTGGCATGGAGTGTAATGGATGAGATGAACTCACTATCAGCACCACCCAGCTGCGTCACAGCGTCCACGAAGCGCTCGTGCAGCTCCGAGGTCCATCGCAGCCGAGGTTTGGGATCCACGGGGCTCACTTCCCCGGCGGACATGAGAACGACGCCATAGGGAGACGACGACCTGTGGTCTTGGTTATGAGGGCTGGTCATTAGGTGTTGCTGTCCTTGCGGTGGCACCACTGTCAGGCTCGAATACTTCTTCATCTGGTACATCGTCGCTGAGTTCCCTTCGTTAATGGCTACCAATGAGAGAATTTGAAGGATATTCTGAGACAGGACTGGACCTTATACTTGTAATGTGTTCCTTTTTGAACTCAAGCTTAAGAGATCACTTCACCAAAGTGTAGGAACACATAGTTTTTGACGAACTTGAAAACAGGTTGACGTTGCGGAGGTGTTGTAATGTCCTGTCTAGGACTAGACTTGCAACACTCGAGGATTAAGAATGGCTCTAGGAATCTCTGGAATAAGGACGCAAACAGCAGAGTGATATGAACACCATTACAGCGTCTGTAATGTACCATATGCCGCCACACAGGACCCACAGTGAAGCAAAATGGCTTGAGTGCTACCCCTCTTTCTCACAACCAGCCTCACAGAAATTGGCTTGCAATTGTCAGAGGTTTATCTCACGGTCTTGATAGGAAATCATGCAAACACTGTGAGAAACGAATACCAATCTTAGGAAATTATTGAGGAAGAGATCAGATGTTCATATTGGCTATGCAGAAGAGAGTTATGATTTCTGATGGTGCATGAAACCACGTTTCCTGCTTTCCCAGCACTTTCTGCACAGTTTACAACCAAAAGTGTCCGACTCAGAATAGTAGAATCAATCCGACATGAGCACCAATGTTGGGGCTCCAGGTATGCGCTGACGTTTCTACTTGTCCTAATTCGCACAAAAGCACACGCAGCTCACTGCCCACGAAGTCTAAACTCTAGGAGAAATTTTGAGCTGGCAAGGAACCCTAACGCGTGCCAGCTTTAAAAATACAGTTCCATGACTTCTTTTTGGGATACAAGAGAAATGTTTCTTGTATGAGAGTTTATATTGGTTTCTGACAAATTCCTTTCACGTTCAAATCGCTTTGCGGTGGAGGCATGGCACAACCTGTTACTGACTACGAAACACACTTGCTCACTGGCTCACTCTCTCAAGCAAGTAATCAACTTCCTCACCCGACGCTCCAAATCGAGAACAGATTACTAGAAGTTCTTCACAAAATTACGTCAACGCTGGCAACATTTCAGGTTGCCTTCCTCAAGGCACTTACAGTAGCCAGGTTTTGGGTGTTCTTATTGGACTACCGGCAGTTTTACGTGGGCTTGGGTTTTGATCGACTCCTCTAATCACAGCTGAGCACAGCAACCGAAGCTTACAACGTCCGTAAGACTGTGCGGTGCCACTAAGAACATGAGGTTGCAGCACCGGCTTGCCACAAAGGTGTAAGAGAAGAAATTTGAAAGGGTCGCGGACTCCCACAAACTACGACAACAAAACCAAACAAGCGTGCTGACCATCAAGGTTGCACTCTAGACCAACCAATTTTTTTTAAAGAGTAAAAACTTAGAACCTCAGCACATATCATAGCTTGACCTAGTTACCTTTGGCAAGTAGCACGAAACTTGCTAGCCGAAGCCGATAAAGATCGAACACCGAGTCGGTTGCAACTTGTGTGGAAAGTATTTCAAAACTGAAGGAAATGCGATCAAGCGGAGGCTAGAGAAGCCAACAGCGCCCCTCTCGCGTAGAGAATTTTAGCAGAAATATTTCCGATGCACTTAACACTATCCACCAACGCCACAGGTCGCGAAGAAACATCAAGCTTAGCTAAAAGTTTTCAAAACCTGCGAACCGCCAAGTGCTGCACTGCGATCGAGCACAGAAAAACCCCGCAAAGATGGTCCACGGCCCTTGAAAATCACTTCACCGATCCTGCACCTTGCGGAGAAAGAGTCTCACCACCGCCAGATTTGAGGCATGACCCAGTTGTCGGCGACGCCCAAGCCGCGAACCGGCAGCTACAAACACCCGAAATCGACTCGATCGACACTGCTAGTGAACGCGACGAAACGCAGTGGCAGCGATACATTTGGCAGAGGGGCAGCGGTTTGGTACGGAGTGACAGTGGAAGAAGACGGAGAGCATTTGGCGAGCAGGGGAATCTGGGGGGATGGATGGCCAGGTCCTGGAGCCGGAATATGCCTACAACACGCCTTGTGTGGCGCGGTGTCGTTTCTGCCACGCTTGCTCTGGAATGTACACCCTTGTGAAGCAGATTCAATGCTAACCTCCGAAACAAAGCGGACCACATTCCGCACTCGCACATCCTCTGGTTCGGGGCTCCCAGGTGTCCCTCTGACGCGTGGATCTAGCCCTCGCGCGCCCAGGATTTGGGATTTGGGACATCAATGTCGCAACACGAGCCTGGATGTTCGTGCTCAACGCAAGCCCCGCAAACCAGAACCTCAGAGTCCCTTCCCCCCATCCTGCCACGGAACCTCGCAGTCAATGCTGTGGACTGTAGCAGATTCCCATCAACTCATCACAGGGCCATCGGATCCCTTAGACGGACCCGATCGACGCGCTGGGGAATCTTCTTGTTGAGCTTGCGTCATGAATCAAGTCCTCAACTGCGGTACCTCCAGAGGGCAATTAAACACCGCAGTAAATGGGCGCGAGCGGCCTCTACCAAAAAAGTCATGCCCTTTCATACGCTAGAGTTAAAACGACGTATCGCCAATCCCTGGCAGCATCCGTAAGCTCCTCAGAAATGGCAGAACCCCATTTGCCCCGGATCTCCCAACGCCTTCAAGATGCACGATCAGGGTCAGTCCGCTCCTGCAATCCCCTTGCAGATCTTCCCCAGCTCCGCATTCCTCCGCGATCTCTTCCTCCTCCTCCTCCTGCTGCTCGCCTGCATCGCCTGCCATCTCTGATCCATCCCAACTCTGCATCGAGGCCAACTCGTGCCATTCCCGCAAGCTTTCAGTCCTCAGAGAGCGTGCGAGGAAGGTGACCCTGACACCCCTCCCCTTTTGGCAAGTGAGTGTGAATAGGTCTTTAGCGGAACCTGCTCGTTTAGGTCCCTGCAGTCTCTTTTCCTTTTCACACTGTGAGCTGGAGGTTCGCTTCTCGTCTCATTGTGTGTCCGTGTGAATAGGTCATTTGTGGAACCTGTATTTTTTAAAGTCCAGTAGCGTCTTTTCTTTTCACACCGTGAATCGATGGTTTTTCTGCTTTGATGATGGAAAAATGATTCTTTTGGTGCATGTGTTTGATGAATAATCACCAAAGAAATGGGCCCCAAAAAACTGAAACTTTTCTTAATTGATTTCTTTAATGAGATTTTGAATTTTATTTAGTATTCATTTATTTATTTATTATATTCTATATTTTATTCTTGATATGGTTTTTTTATTTGTTTAGATGTCAAAATTTTAATTCAAAATAAATTGTGACAATCTTAAACTATCTAAAGGATAACACAATGTTTTTAATAAGTTAGCAATTCAAATCCCAATTGTAAAATGTCCAACTCTATGTAAAAAGAAATCCTAGCTCATAGATAATAACTCTCTAATGAATTTAACAAATATACATAGTATTAAAAAAATATGTGTATGAATATATACATATATATATATATATATATATATATACATACATATGTTGACATCAATATGTTTTAGTAGATTTGTCATGTTTTGTCACATTACATAATATTATGACTATAATATAAATTATTAAAATATAATTTTTAAAAATATTTTAAATTAAAACATGTCATTAAACTAAATCTTATGTAAAAAGGTTAATTTTTAAAAGAATAATCTGTTTATAGTCTACTGAAAAAATTAATTATATTTTTCATTTTTTTACAAATTTTATATTGACCTTGTATATATATGTATATATATATATATATATATATATATGTATATATATATATATATATATATATATGTATATATATATATATATATATATATATGTATATATATATATATATATATATATATATATTCAAAGAAATTAATCACTGTCTTTTAATGTTTACTTTCTAATGTAAAGCTATTATAGAATCTTCAAATTTAATTATAATTTGAGTTGAATGATCATAATTATTATTATTGTACACCTCTTTCTTATTATCATAATTAATAATTATTGTACAATAATTATTATTATTGTACTTTAACATTAATTCACAAGATAGATTTGCAAAATTAACAATCAAGACTTAAAGAGGATTGAATAATATGAAGTGCAAAGATAAATAGTTTGCATTTACAAAATTAAAAAGTGCCAAAATTAACCTCGTATACAAGTTTAAACTAAAATTTATGCATTTCCAATAGAATTAAGAATAATTATAATAATAATAATAATACATTACTTGTCTATGAACATATTATGTTTAATAAATAAATAAATAAATAAGTGGTTATGAATATATTTAAAAGTCCATAGAGAAATGATAAATGGTTTTTAAATAGTTATAAAATAATTCAAATAATAAAATAATATATTTAATACAAAGAGATTAGTAGTGTTTTTATAATGACTTTTAAAGACTTTGTGGTATTTTGTGAAATAGCTCAAATGTTTTATACTGCTAAATTATCAATCAGAAGTTAAAAAATAAGAAATAAAAATTAGAAATAGAATGATAAAGTAATTATATTCTATTACTATATTATTGCTTATATAAGTATTAAAGTTGAGCTTATTTTTTCAGGTATTATTCAAATAAAGAACTGTATTATTCATATAATATTATAGAAATACAGTACTAACATGCCCTATTTATTCATAAGTAAATTTGTTTAATTTATCCTAAATTTATGTTGAAATATTTATAGAATAAAGTAACATGTATCAATTTTTTTATTTAAAATAAAAAGTTAAAAGAAAACCGATTTATCCATAAAAAAGTTTTAAATCCCATCCACATGTATTTTAGAAAAGAAATAAGAGAAAATTGCACACCTAATAAATTCTTAAAAGTTAATTAGAATGATAAATGCATTATCAATAGAGGTATGAGATTTAAATTTTAGGAGAGTTTTACCTTATATGACAATAATGTAGAAAATTTAACTTTTCAAGTAATGTCTTTTTGCAACTCTAAAGTTACAACATCTTCAAGTATTTCAAAATAACTATAAATTGATTTGGAGATAACATAAATGCCCAAAAGTATTAACAAAAGTTTGATTTTGTTTTTGTTTTGTTTGTTTGTTTGTTTGTTTTTTAAGAGTAAAAGATTTAATGATTTATTATTATGACACACATGAGAAAAATAAAGACAATCACTACTTTCATCAAAAATATAATTTAAGAATGCACTAAAAATATATATATATATATATATATACACACTACAAGTCCATATTGAATTAGAAGATAGATAATGATACATTGTGGTAAAAATTTGAAGTATTTTTTAAATCTAAAATAAATAAATATATTAGAAATTAGGTTTTAATTAAAATTATATAGTTTAGAATCTACTTGGAGCCACATAAATTATTAAAAAGTAAAATATATTTAATTTGGTGACAAATTAAAAAAAGACAAGCTTCACAAATGTATTAGTTAGCATAATTAAAAATTGATAATATTAAATATGCATTAGATCAATATCAAAAAATAAAAAATAAAATAAAATATCACTTAAAAGATATAGATCTTGTAAGTATTGAGATTTTCTTTAAAATTAGAAGAGATAGCAAGAGGCCACAACTTTTAAATCTTTTGATTCGTTGAATTCAAGAAGCCTTAATGAGTTGGTTTTGTAGTTAGAAAAATCTACCAAAAGGATATAAAAAGTAAAAATAATGTAGAATGTATATATATATATTTTTCCCCTACATGGCATGCATAATGTTATGTCTTGGAATTTATACTAAATGATAAAGTTACTAAAATATAGCAAAAATAAAAAAAATTATTTTTTTTAAGGAAATAAAAAATATGTAAAAGAATTAAGAAAAATCTAATTTTCAAAAAAATGAGAATCTTAAGAAGGATAAGAGTTTTTATTTTTAAAAATAACAATGGTTCCAAAGACATCCATATTATTTAATAGAGGTAAATTCAAATAGTATTAGAAACATTAAATTTTTATGTGAGTTTGTTTTGTTTTGGCAATAGAATTTGATTCTTGTACACACAAGTTGTAAAGAATATGGGAGGTCTTAATTTTATCTTTACAGTGTTATAAAAATAGCAAGGTCATTTGACATAAAATATGGCTTGGAAGTAAAGTTTTGATATAAAAATTCTTCAACAAAAAAATTCTAAATAAAAACAACATAATATCATGAATTACAAAATCAAAACTTGAAAAATAATGTGACTTAATGCATGCAACTCATGAACTTTTTGTTTATAAAAAATAGATTAAATTCCAAATCATTATAAACTAGATATTAATTTTGCACAATGTAGTTTTTTTTTCAATCATAAAAACAAAACTTGGAGTTGTGACTAGGACAACTAAATGACACATTTAAATGTAAGATATACTTTACATTAGTTGAGAGTATTTTTATAAATAAAAAGTAAAAATAAACTATCATATTTTAAAATAGGTAGATATAGACAGAACTAATTACAAAACATGAATTCCGATGTGATTAAATAAACAATCCAAGAAATATTGCAGCCTTCAAGATTAAAAACAATACTTAAAATCATGTATTGAGTAAATTACTTCAGATACCATCATATTTATCTAGCTATTTTAGTTCTTTAGTCTACCGTTTAAACAGAACACTCAAACACGTTAAATGATACATGTAGTAGTTTGCAAAAATCATGATATTGAGTTTCAAAGGAATAAAAAAAAAGGAATAATAATAAAACCTCGCAAACGTAATCAAATGAAAAATCCCAATCTATGTGAATCTCGGGTAAAGCTTTTCAGTGAACATGCGAAAAGTGATTAAAATACCTTGAAAATTTTGAGAATGGATTGAGATCTCAGTAGCTAACGTAGTCTCAAGTAAAAAAACAAGCAAGTAAACAAATGACTGAGAGCGTTTAGATGCTAAATTCAAATTTCACACCATATTCACGAATTTCTTGATACTTAAGAAACCAAGACAACTGGTGTTACTGAAGCCAGGCTCCAAGAGCACCTGCTCTAGGACAATCACTACCAACAACCCAAGTTCAAAAGCTGTTTTGAGGATTGCTGATAATTCACCATCAATAACCTCAACTTCCAACCAAACCCTTAAAAAGTATGTTTCTTTTGACGATAAAAACTCGGCCACTTGAAACCGTCGACATGAAGGAGCAACAAGGCACTCACTTCGCGCCTGAAAAGTAGTTGTTGAAACCAGGCATGATCTGGGGCTCCTGCTGCCGAACGTAGGCTCGAAGACCGTGCATTTTGTAAGCCTCCCCTTCCTTGTAATTTTCTAGGACTCCCGCAGCTCGGTCTTCCTTTGTAATTCTGAAGAAAGACAAAAACTTGAGTTTCTACTTCGAGAGTCCAAATGGAAAGCATAAGTGCATGTCGCTACATACACCTATAATTCACACATTTGCTAACATAATGGCGTACATAACGTAAATTAATCAGTCTCATGGAATGCCTTGTGTTACTTTCGAATCGCATTGAATTAGTTTGCATGTGTTTGAGAATTGTCGATCATGGGCTGAAATCAACCACATAAAATAAAAATACGTCGAACTGCCAAAACCCAAAAAGAAAAAGTACAAAAAAATTAAAATAAAATAAGCACCAGAATGCTACCTGACATCGGGATTGATGGCGAGGTTGCGGGCCATCGCATACCCGCAGATGCCCAAAGCTGCTCCGATAGCAAAAAAGAGTGGGTAGATCTGCAATTCACGTTCAACTAAGTCTTTCGCTCAAAAATGGAAAACAGATGAAAGGCGAGCTCCCACATATATGTCGAGAAGGTAAAAGCGAGATCCTTCTGGAAAAAACCGAGCAGCGAAAAGGCTGCTAGGAGGGAAATCGGGTGCCCAAATTACCACCATAACCCAAAAAATGTAGCCCTCCATCCCTGAAAGACCGAAGACCGCATTGAAGCAATTAAACCTCTCACTCTCGCGCAAAGCGAACATTCCCATGTGCGCTTCGAAGAAAGAAGACCAGATCAATCGTTCTCCTCACAAAGGTTGCGAATTCCATGTCCGACATACACTACTTAAGAAGAAAAACGACCTGAAAGAACCCACTACACATCTACAGTTACATCTCACCCTCAGCACCACAGATCGATGACCCAAAAAAACCAACTAAACATGCGAATACAGCACCGAGAATTCGCCCTTCGTACAAACACCTCGCCTAAGACCAACATACGCCTAACCTACTTCCGAAAAGACAAACCATAACAGCAAAGTGAGCATGGACAGGCGTATGCAGCACGCGATGGCGAGAGCGAGGGTTGGTGGTACACGCTACCTCAGGCTTGATCCATCGCTTCGAGAACGGCACCTTGGCTGCCATGGCGCTCCAATACGCAAAATGCAGTCTCGTCGAGGAACACCCAAAAGCAAGATTCGAAAGCTCCGACGATCAGTGCAACTGCGGCACAAAAATCGCACACAAAGTGCAAAGGGCACGGAAATTTCTCCCTCTCTCTTGCCAAAGTATCGCCCGTCAATGAGTCTCGTCGTGCGTGGAACGACGCAAGCCAGGTCTAGATCAGGACTGCGCTGGACCTGCCGGGTGAACGGGCCAGGTCACCCTCTCCCCGACCCGGTCCACTGGGCAGTTCGACGGAAAATTCAATCGCTCTGATTACGTCATTCTGTGCGTCGGATTTTGGACGTTTCTGAGGACGTCAGTTGACGACGTCCATAATTCGTCCGTGTTCATTCCTTCGCGCATCCATGAATAATGTCGATGAATGATTTTCAGATGTGGTTTGGTCAATGTCGTAGGTCTCCGCGTTCATTTTCTCGATGAAATAATCTGTTCGTCAGGTGGAGGTTCCGTTGGGCCTGTCTCGTGAGCCAGTTTAATAAAACAAACTATAATAACTCTTTTTCTACGTCAGTTATGGCCCATATGGGGCTACTGTGCCCGCCACTATTACATTCATTTTTAGCTTTAGGGCCACTTTTGCATCTATGTAATAATAAAATAATAATAATAATAATAATAAAATATCACTGCTGCTAGTTTTTTTTTGTTGAATTATGTTTTGTAAATATTAAAGTTATATACAAGTTTTAAATATAACTATAGTGATAATTGAATAAATGTGGATGAAAGTCAATGATGAAACATAAAATAGAAAAAATAGTGTATGTGGTGATGTTTAAAGCATGAAAATACAACTTTTAAAAATTATATTACTATGGAAATTTACCCAGAAGAGATTTGTTGCAACACAAATAAAATGTAATAAAAATGGGTAATCTTTCTCCTCTATAAATTCTTATTTCAGAATCAATTGAACTTTTATTCTAATTCTATGCCTCTTGTTTGATTTGATTAACAACAGTATATTTTTAAAAAATATTTATAAATATTTATAAAATTATCCCTCATAAGTATTTCTATCAATAAATGTCAATTTATCACATCAACATATTTTAATTATGTTGGTTTATACTTATACAAAGTATACTTATTATTACTACTTGTATAAAATATTTTATTTAATCTTATCAATTCTTTTTTTCTATCTTGCTTTTTTGCAATTTAAAAACCTACTTCTTGGTATAATCCTTTGATTACATATTTTTTACTATCGCAGTTGTCATTTTCTATAATTGTTTGAATTATTCATTACAAATGAAATCCCTAAGAACTAATTTATAAATAATTCTTTTCAATCAGTTAACTTTTTTTTAATCCAAATCATATAAAACAAGTACAAAAGGCTCAAATCTTGTTTTAATAGTAAAATTTAAAATTCTTGAGTATTTTTACTGTACCAAAATCATTTTTAGAGCATGTTATTGGCTCAAACTATTGCATCATAGTCTAAAAATTTTATTACTAGTCTTTTAAAAATACTAAAATATTATTTCATATAAAATTTAAATAAAATTTTAATTAAGTTTTAAAATTAATTATTTATTATTAATTATTTTTACAACATTAATACTATAAAATTTTAAAATAAAAAATTAAAGTTTATTTTTATAGTTTTATTTTGGAAGAAATGTTATATAAACATCATGTTTATTAAATATTTTAAAAAATAATAAGATAGTATTTTCAAAATATATGTATATATATATTTTTTGAAAACTTAAATATAATTAAGAATCTTTAATTTTTTTTGGAGAGACCAAAATTACTTAAACTTTTGCTAACTTCATTGATAGACACAATACAATCAAAATCAATGAAGCTTCTTATACATTTAATTCTCCACAATTTATAGTCACCTTTTTTATACATTTATAGTAGCAAAAAATATCTTCAAGCAAAAATCTACAAATTTCTTCTATAGAATTTTTTCTTAATCCATTGTATTCTACTTGGTTGGATAAATTTTTGTGAGCCAAAACTACCTCATTTGCGATAATTCAATTGACATAATAACCAAATCAATAATCCATTTAAAGTGAATAGCCTAAAGATATGTTAGATATAAACCATCTTAATGTTGTATATTATAATATGTTTAACAATTCATATAAAATTCTACAAATAAAAACACATTTCAATTCATATTTTTTCACCAATACCATTCTTTGAAGTTTAGCAAAGGTAGTCCAAATCTCCTTATGTTTTGCCCATAAATTATTATGAAATTCTTTTGGTAATTTTTGTTGCTCTTCTTTTATATCTATCACTTCTTATGGATTCCATTTTTTTTTTTGATCTCTTCCATAAGAATCTTTTTTAAAATAAAATTCCATATGATTTTTTTCTAATTTAATTTTTTTTTTCTATAGAACAATTTTGCTTGTTTCATCTAAGGTATTTAAATAATAACTAATATCCAATAATTCTCTTTCATAAAGTTCTTCAAAGAACAACTTATCTTCTTTGTTAAGATTTGAAACTAAATAAAATCTTGTTCCAATATCAAGTATATCTTCAAAAATCTACTTTTGGTAATCATATCTTACTCAAATAGTATGTTTACTATTAAATTAACTTTTCCAACAACATGCTTGAATTTAGATTTAATGACTTGATAGAAGAAATCCATCTTAGCATTGCAATATTTAGTGTTGCACAATTAATAATCATTTGAAGTAATAACAAAGAATCTATTTGAATTACTACCACTATAATAATAAAATAATCATTTTAAACTTTTAAAGCCAAACAACTTCCAATTTATTTTATTTTATTTTATTTTATTTTATTTACTTCAAAATTTGTATATGTCACAAATATACATAATTACTTAAATAAAAAATATTACATAAAAAGTAAATATAGATGGATTTGATAATATCTTATTGAAAAGTATTATAGATGTAGATTTAGCATTATAATTATTTATAGTTGATTGATAGATTAAAAACTTGGCCAACAAATTACCTTCATGCCACATAAGTTGGTGGCTTGAGGTATAAGTTGATTATGTGGCACATATGTAAGAAACTTATTTTGGAAGTTATATATGTGTCTTGTAAGTTGGACATGTATTGGAGGTATTATAGAACATTGCCACATAGCTCTTACTTAAATATTATACATAGAAACATAAGTGAAGCCTTCTTTATTCTTATCAAAGTATCAAGGACATAAATTATAAAGAATCAAAGGATTAGTACACTCTTATATCATTACAAAAGAGTAGATAATCATTCAAAGCTAGTATACTATTAAGAATAGAATTTCTATTATTAAATTTAAGAAGACTAGACATTCTTAGAACCAGACTAAGAAAAAAAATGATAAGAGTGAAGAAAGCTTCATACTTATTATCATATATACTATCTAAGTAAAAGATACTTTGTGATATTTTATAATATCTCCAATACATGTTGAACTTGCAAAATACATGTCTAACTTACAAGACAAGTTTTATACATGTACACCATATAATCAATTTGCATCACAAGCCACCAACATATGCATCATGTGGCTGTTTTATTGGCCAAGTTTCTAACCTATTAATTAACTATAAGTATGTAAAAAATCAAATTTTAATCAATGAAGCTTTTAAAAAACTTTTCTATAAAATATCATCAAATCTTTTTACATTTATCTTCTACCTAAAACTTTTTATATAGATAACTATGTATGTCTATGATAAAATATTTGTAAGTATTATAAATCTGAGTTCTAAATTAAATTACTAATCTATGATTACTTCAATCATATTGTTTTACAATCCATCCAATAATAATAGAATTAGTATCTATAATAAGAATTACTTATTTATTATAGTCAAAATTAATTTGTTTAAAAATTAAAAGTGATAACAATAATACTTTCAATCTTTATATTATTTTGATATACTTTTTTATTGATAAATTATATAATGGATCTACTATATGATTATAATAAAGAATTTATTTATAAAAAAATACATATGCATTCAAAAACTTGTATACTTCTATTAAAAAGTTATATATATCTTTTATCCTTTTAATTGCATCAATTTTGCTTGGATTTGATTTTCTTCTATAAAATCTAAATTATTGTCCAATAATCATAATTTCTTGTATTTCAAATAAAGATTTTTTTTTAGATAGTGTAAGATGAATTTATTTAAGTTAAGTTAAATTATTTTCATAGTCATGTATATAATCAATAATATACTTGCAATATATCTTTTCATCTAAAGTCTCAATTATTATTATTATTATTAATATTATTTCTCTTTACATCCTTTGATAAGAATATCATCTAAAAAATATATATATATTTTTTTTGAGAATAAAGTCTTTCAACACCTTATTCATTTCTTTCATTATATGTATAATTAAGTTAATAGCACCATATGAAAGAGTATGCATTTTAAGTAGTTTAAAAGATATTTTAATTGATGTCAAATCTTTACTTTCATGTACAAGTTGAAATTGACAACTTCAAATATAAATCACGAATTGAATAAATTATCCTTCTTACAAATGCTTTAATAAATTCATCTACTAAATATCTTATATCAACATATTTAATTATTATTACATTAATTGATTTTATATCTTAGATAAATTATAGTGATTTATTTTTCTCAAGTACTACAAATCAATAATTGAAATATAGAGCAAAAGAAAGTTCTATAATCTATATTTGCATCTTTTTTTTTAATAAGTCCATTAATTTTGAAAAATGGGTCTTTGGTACATAAATTGGTATGAAGGGCATGAAGCTCAAAGAAAGAAATCCTTAATACATTATTGTGTTATTCTAAAGAACTACAAAGTCATTCAAAGATGATATAGTATTAAACTAGAATGGCTATTGATAAAGATAAGAAGATTAAAACGTCTTGAAATAAGACTAAAGACTAAAAAAGTATTGACGAGAATGAAGAAGGCATTATTCTTACCTTCATATATACTCTTAACTAGGAGCTACATGGCAGTGTCTTATAGGACCTCAAAAATGTGTTGACTTGACAAGTCACAGATCTTAACTTTCAAGGCAAGTTTTTTATATATATGCCACATAGTTACCTTGTTTCATAAGCTACCAATACGTGATTAACTTATTGATCAAGTTTCTAACCTATCAATCAACTACAAATACATGTAAGATCAAAGCAA